GTGAGTGAGTGGTGAGTGAGTGAGTGGTGAGTGAGTGAGTGGTGAGTGAGTGGTGAGTGAGTGGTGAGTGAGTGAGTGGTAAGTGAGTGGTGAGTGAGTGGTGAGTGAGGGAGTGGTGAGTGAGTGAGTGGTGAGTGAGTGGTGAGTGAGTGAGTGGGTGAGTGAGGGAGTGGTGAGTGAGTGAGTGGTGAGTGAGTGGTGAGTGAGTGAGTGACTGAGTGAGTGAGTGGTGAGTGAGTGAGTGGTGAGTGAGTGAGTGGTGAGTGAGTGGTGAGTGAGTGAGTGAGTGGTGAGTGAGTGAGTGAGTGGTGAGTGAGTGGTGAGTGAGTAAGTGAGTGGTGAGTGAGTGGTGAGTGAGTGGTGAGTGAGTGAGTGGTGAGTGAGTGAGTGGTGAGTGAGTGGTGAGTGAGTGAGTGGTGAGTGAGTGGTGAGTGGTGAGTGAGTGAGTGGTGAGTGAGTGAGTGGTGAGTGAGTGGTGAGTGAGTGAGTGGTGAGTGAGTGGTGAGTGAGTGAGTGGTGAGTGAGTGGTGAGTGAGTGAGTGGTGAGTGAGTGAGTGAGTGGCTGAGTGAGTGAGTGGGTGAGTGAGTGGTGAGTGAGTGAGTGGTGAGTGAGTGGTGAGTGAGTGAGTGGTGAGTGAGTGGTGAGTGAGTGAGTGGTGAGTGAGTGGTGAGTGAGTGAGTGGTGAGTGAGTGGTGAGTGAGTGAGTGGTGAGTGAGTGGTGAGTGAGTGAGTGGTGAGTGAGTGAGTGAGTGGTGAGTGAGTGAGTGGTGAGTGAGTGGTGAGTGAGTGGTGAGTGAGTGAGTGGTGAGTGAGTGGTGAGTGAGTGAGTGGTGAGTGAGTGGTGAGTGAGTGAGTGGTGAGTGAGTGGTGAGTGAGTGGTGAGTGAGTGAGTGGTGAGTGAGTGGTGAGTGAGTGAGTGGTGAGTGGTGAGTGAGTGAGTGGTGAGTGAGTGGTGAGTGAGTGAGTGGTGAGTGAGTGGTGAGTGAGTGGTGAGTGAGTGAGTGGTGAGTGAGTGAGTGGTGAGTGAGTGAGTGGTGAGTGAGTGGTGAGTGAGTGGTGAGTGAGTGAGTGAGTGGTGAGTGAGTGGTGAGTGAGTGAGTGAGTGGTGAGTGAGTGGTGAGTGGTGAGTGAGTGAGTGGTGAGTGAGTGAGTGGTGAGTGAGTGGTGAGTGAGTGGTGAGTGAGTGAGTGGTGAGTGAGTGAGTGGTGAGTGAGTGGTGAGTAGTGAGTGAGTGGTGAGTGAGTGGTGAGTGAGTGGTGAGTGAGTGGTGAGTGAGTGAGTGTCTGAGTGAGTGAGTGAGTGGGTGAGTGGGTGGGTGGGTGAGTGAGTGAGTGGGTGAGTGAGTGGGTGAGTGAGTGAGTAGTGAGTGAGTGGTGAGTGAGTGAGTGGTGAGTGAGTGGTGAGTGAGTGGTGAGTGAGTGAGTGGTGAGTGAGTGAGTGAGTGGTGAGTGAGTGGTGAGTGGTGAGTGAGTGGGGAGTGGTGGTGCAGTGGTTAGCGCACTGTGTGTGTGTGGGGAGTGGTGGTGCAGTGGTTAGCGCACTGTGTGTGAGTGGGGAGTGGTGAGTGAGTGAGTGGTGAGTGAGTGGGTGAGTGAGTGGTGAGTGAGTGGTGCGTGAGTGGTGAGTGAGTGAGTGGTGAGTGAGTGAGTGGTGAGTGAGTGAGTGAGTGAGTGAGTGGTGAGTGAGTGGTGAGTGAATGAGTGGTGAGTGAGTGAGTGAGTGGTGAGTGAGTGAGTGGTGAGTGAGTGAGTGGTGAGTGAGTGGTGAGTGAGTGAGTGGTGAGTGAGTGAGTGGTGAGTGAGTGGTGAGTGAGTGAGTGAGTGGTGAGTGAGTGGTGAGTGAGTGAGTGGTGAGTGAGTGGTGAGTGAGTGAGTGAGTGGTGAGTGGGTGGGTGAGTGAGTGGTGAGTGAGTGGTGAGTGAGTGGTGAGTGAGTGAGTGGTGAGTGAGTGGTGAGTGAGTGAGTGGTGAGTGAGTGGTGAGTGAGGGGTGAGTGGGTGAGTGGGTGGTGAGTGAGTGGTGAGTGGTGAGTGAGTGAGTGGTGAGTGAGTGGTGAGTGGGTTGTGAGTGAGTGGTGAGTGAGTGGTGAGTGAGTGAGTGGTGAGTGAGTGGTGAGTGGTGAGTGAGTGAGTGGTGAGTGAGTGGTGAGTGGTGAGTGAGTGGTGAGTGGTGAGTGAGTGAGTGGTGAGTGAGTGGTGAGTGAGTGAGTGGTGAGTGAGTGAGTGAGTGGTGAGTGAGTGGTGAGTGAGTGGGTGAGTGAGTGGTGAGTGAGTGGTGAGTGAGTGAGTGGTGAGTGAGTGGTGAGTGAGTGGTGAGTGAGTGAGTGGTGAGTGAGTGGTGAGTGAGTGGTGAGTGAGTGAATAGTGAGTGGTGAGTGAGTGGTGAGTGAGTAGTGAGTGGTGAGTGAGTGGTGGGTGAGTGAGTGGTGAGTGAGTGGGTGGTGAGTGAGTGAGTGAGTGGTGAGTGAGTGAGTGGTGAGTGAGTGGTGAGTGAGTGAGTAGTGAGTGGTGAGTGGGTGAGTGGTGAGTGAGTGGTGAGTGAGTGAGTGGTGAGTGGTGAGTGAGTGGTGAGTGAGTGGTGAGTGAGTGAGTGGTGAGTGAGCGGTGAGTGAGTGAGTAGTGAGTGGTGAGTGAGTGGTGAGTGAGTGGTGAGTGGTGAGTGAGTGGTGAGTGAGTGGGTGGTGAGTGAGTGAGTGAGTGGTGAGTGGTGAGTGAGTGGTGAGTGAGTGGTGAGTGAGTGAGTGAGTGGTGAGTGCGTGGTGAGTGAGTGGTGAGTGAGTGGTGAGTGGTGAGTGAGTGGTGAGTGAGTGGTGAGTGAGTGAGTGGTGAGTGAGTGGTGAGTGAGTGAGTGGTGAGTGAGTGGTGAGTGAGTGGTGAGTGAGTGAGTGGTGAGTGAGTGGGTGAGTGAGTGGTGAGTGAGTGGTGAGTGGTGAGTGAGTGGTGAGTGAGTGGTGAGTGAGTGAGTGGGTGAGTGAGTGGGTGAGTGAGTGGTGAGTGAGTGGTGAGTGAGTGGTGAGTGAGTGAGTGGTGAGTGAGTGGTGAGTGGTGAGTGAGTGGTGAGTGAGTGGGTGAGTGAGTGGTGAGTGAGTGGTGAGTGAGTGGTGAGTGAGTGAGTGGTGAGTGGTGAGTGAGTGGTGAGTGGTGAGTGAGTGGTGAGTGAGTGGTGAGTGGGTGAGTGAGTGGTGAGTGAGTGGGTGAGTGAGTGGTGAGTGAGTGGTGAGTGAGTGAGTGGTGAGTGAGTGGTGAGTGGTGAGTGAGTGGTGAGTGGTGAGTGAGTGGTGAGTGAGTGGTGAGTGGGTGAGTGAGTGGTGAGTGGGTGAGTGAGTGGGTGAGTGAGTGGTGAGTGAGTGGTGAGTGAGTGAGTGGTGAGTGAGTGGTGAGTGGGTGGTGAGTGAGTGGTGAGTGAGTGGTGAGTGGTGAGTGAGTGGTGAGTGAGTGGTGAGTGAGTGGTGAGTGGTGAGTGAGTGAGTGGTGAGTGAGTGGTGAGTGGTGAGTGAGTGGTGAGTGAGTGAGTGGTGAGTGAGTGAGTGGTGAGTGAGTGAGTGGTGAGTGAGTGGTGAGTGAGTGGTGAATGAGTGAGTGGTGAGTGAGTGGTGAGTGAGTGGTGAGTGAGTGAGTGGTGAGTGGTGAGTGGGTGGTGAGTGAGTGGTGAGTGAGTGGTGAGTGGTGAGTGAGTGGTGAGTGAGTGAGTGGTGAGTGAGTGAGTGGTGAGTGGTGAGTGAGTGGTGAGTGAGTGGTGAGTGAGTGAGTGGTGAGTGAGTGAGTGGTGAGTGAGTGGTGAGTGAGTGGTGAGTGGTGAGTGAGTGGTGAGTGAGTGGTGAGTGAGTGGTGAGTGAGTGAGTGGTGAGTGAGTGGTGAGTGGGTGGTGAGTGAGTGGTGAGTGAGTGGTGAGTGGTGAGTGAGTGGTGAGTGAGTGGTGAGTGAGTGGTGAGTGGTGAGTGAGTGAGTGGTGAGTGAGTGGTGAGTGGTGAGTGAGTGGTGAGTGAGTGAGTGGTGAGTGAGTGAGTGGTGAGTGAGTGAGTGGTGAGTGAGTGGTGAGTGAGTGGTGAATGAGTGAGTGGTGAGTGAGTGGTGAGTGAGTGGTGAGTGAGTGAGTGGTGAGTGGTGAGTGGGTGGTGAGTGAGTGGTGAGTGAGTGGTGAGTGGTGAGTGAGTGGTGAGTGAGTGAGTGGTGAGTGAGTGAGTGGTGAGTGGTGAGTGAGTGGTGAGTGAGTGGTGAGTGAGTGAGTGGTGAGTGAGTGAGTGGTGAGTGAGTGGTGAGTGGTGAGTGAGTGGTGAGTGAGTGAGTGGTGAGTGAGTGAGTGGTGAGTGAGTGAGTGGTGAGTGAGTGGTGAGTGAGTGGTGAATGAGTGAGTGGTGAGTGAGTGGTGAGTGAGTGGTGAGTGAGTGAGTGGTGAGTGGTGAGTGGGTGGTGAGTGAGTGGTGAGTGAGTGGTGAGTGGTGAGTGAGTGGTGAGTGAGTGAGTGGTGAGTGAGTGAGTGGTGAGTGGTGAGTGAGTGGTGAGTGAGTGGTGAGTGAGTGAGTGGTGAGTGAGTGGTGAATGAGTGAGTGGTGAGTGAGTGGTGAGTGAGTGGTGAGTGAGTGAGTGGTGAGTGGTGAGTGGGTGGTGAGTGAGTGGTGAGTGAGTGGTGAGTGGTGAGTGAGTGGTGAGTGAGTGAGTGGTGAGTGAGTGAGTGGTGAGTGGTGAGTGAGTGGTGAGTGAGTGGTGAGTGAGTGAGTGGTGAGTGAGTGAGTGGTGAGTGAGTGGCGCTACCTGAATCGCGGTCTCCGGTTTAACACGAACGAGGCGACGTCACGAACGCGATGACGTCACCTCGTTCGTGGGGCGGGGTCTAGCATGACCCCGCCCCCTTATCTATCCCCACTCCTCCCTCTCTCCCCTAGCCCCTCCCCCTTTCTCCCTCAACCCCCTGCGTCTTGCCCCGCCCCCCTCGTATCCAACCCCTCCCTCTAGCCCCTCCCCCTTTCTCCCTAAGCTCCTCCCTCTCGCCCCGCCCCCCTTTCCACGACTCCTCCCCCTTCTCTCTCTCCCCCAACGCCACGTCATCACCACGACCACATCTCCACAGCCACCATCGGCAACATCTTAATCGCCACAAACGTTAACATTCACATTTATAATCGTCGACAACAGCTAACAAACGACTAACAACGACGGCGACGGCCAACAACACCGATTAAGATCGTAATAATTAACAAATTTGTAAAGTTTTTTTACATTTTTTACCTCAGGCCTCGCAAAGAGCTTCCAATGGAACAGCGCTGTGAGGATTTTTTCGCAGTTTTTTTTGGCGGGAATAACTTAGCATAAATTATGTTATGTTAATGTTGTTCGCCGTTATGTTAATGAGGGAGAGTGGCGCGCGGGGAGAGAAGCGGGGACAGATCAAGAGATGAGTGGGTAGTGGGCAATCGATCCGGGCTTTGGTGGAATCGTCGCGGGTGAATCGCTGCAGTCGATTCCCACCGGGAGTCGGCGAGAGTCGATTCTGGATTAATCGATTGTTAATGGAGAATCGATTCTTTCGATGGGTGGAGAGGAAAGATTTGGAGAATTGAATCGCAACTTATTTAATCGATTTAGATGGGGAATCGAATCTTTGGAAGGGTGGGGAAAAGATTTGGATAATCGAATCGGTTCCGGTTCTTGCTATAAACCTTTTGTACTTTGGAATCGATTCCCCCGTCCGTGAGAAGTTTGGATGATTGAATCGGTTTACACTGAATCGATTTATAATTTTAATCGATTAATGGGGGGTGGGAGGTGTAGAGATCTATTTTGGAGAATCGGATCTTGAAAATGAATCGATTCCAAATGTTCAACATTTGTTCAACATTTGGAATCGAGACAGACAGAGACACAGAGAGAGACACAGAGACACAGAGAGACACAGAGAGAGACACAGACACACAGAGACAGAGACACACAGAGATAGAGAGAGACACACAGAGATAGAGAGAGACACAGAGAGACAGAGAGAGACACAGAGAGACAGAGAGACACAGAGACACAGAGAGAGAGACACAGAGAGACACACAGAGACACACAGAGACAGAGACACACAGAGACACACAGAGACAGAGACACACAGAGACAGAGACACACAGAGATAGAGAAAGACACAGAGAGACAGAGACACAGAGACAGAGAGACACAGAGAGACAGACAGAGAAACACAGAGAGACAGAGACATAGAGAGAGAGAGAGACACAGAGAGAGAGAGACAGAGAGAGAGACAGAGAGAGAGACACAGAGAGAGACACAGAGACAGAGACACAGAGAGAGAGACAGAGAAACACAGAGAAACAGAGACACAGAGACAGAGAGAGACAGACACACAGAGAGACAGAGACAAACAGACAGACACAGAGAGAGACACAGAGAAAGACAAAGACACAGAGAGACAGAGAGACAGAGAAAGACACAGACACATAGACACAGACAGAGAGAGAGACAGACACACAGAGAGACAGAGACACACAGAGAGAGAGAGACACAGAGACACAGAGAGACAGAGAGAGACACAGAGAAAGACAAAGACACAGACAGAGAGAGAGACAGAGAGACAGAGACACAGAGAGACACAGAGACAGAGAGAGACACACAGAGACACACAGAGAGACACAGACACACAGAGAGACACAGACACAGAGAGACAGAGACACAGAGAGACAGAGACACAGAGAGACAGAGACACAGAGAGACAGAGACACAGAGAGACAGAGACACAGAGAGACAGAGACACAGAGAGACAGAGACACACAGAGAGAGACACAGAGAGACACAGAGACAGAGACACAGAGAGACACAGAGAGAGACACAGAGACACACAGAGACAGATACACACAGAGACAGACACAGAGACACACAGAGATAGAGAAAGAAACAGAGACACAGAGAGAGACAGAGACACAGAGAGACAGACAGACAGAGACACAGAGAGACACACAGAGAGACAGAGACACAGAAACACAGAGAGACAGAGAGAGAGACAGAGAGACACAGAGAGACAGAGACACAGAGAGAGACACAGAGACAGAGACACAGAGAGAGAGACAGAGAGACACAGAGAGACACACAGAGAGACACACAGAGAGACACACAGAGAGACACAGAGAGAGACACAGAGACAGAGACACAGAGAGAGAGACAGAGACACACAGAGAGACAGAGACAGAGAGAGACAGACACACAGAGAGACAGACACACAGAGAGACAGAGACACACACAGAGAGACACAGACACAGAGAGAGAGACACAGAGAAAGACAAAGACACAGAGAGAGAGACAGAGAAAGACACAGACACAGAGAGACACAGAGAGACAGAGAAAGACACAGACACACAGACACAGACAGAGAGAGAGACAGAGATACAGAGACACACAGAGACACAGAGAGAGACACAGAGAGACACAGAGTCACAGAGAGACAGAGAGACACAGAGAGAGACACAGAGAGACACAGAGACACACAGAGAGAGAGAGAGACACAGAGTCACAGAGAGACAGAGAGACACAGAGAGACACAGAGAGAGACACAGAGAGACACAGACACAGAGACACAGAGAGACAGAGAGAGAGACACAGAGTCACAGAGAGACACAGAGAGAGACACAGAGAGACAGACACAGAGACACAGAGAGACACAGAGACACAGAGAGACAGAGAGAGAGACACAGAGAGACACAGAGAGACAGCGAGAGAGACACAGAGAGACACAGAGACACAGAGAGACAGAGAGAGAGACACAGAGAGACACAGAGACACACAAAGACACAGAGAGACACAGAGAGAGACACAGAGAGACACACAGAGACACACAGAGAGACAGAGAGACAGAGACACACAGAGAGAGAGAGACACAGAGTCACAGATAGACACAGAGAGAGACACAGACACAGAGACACAGAGAGACACAGAGAGACACAGACAGACACAGAGAGACAGTCTCTGTGTCTGTCCACCCTTCTGACCACCGCTGTCTCTCTGTGTGTCTCTGTGTCTCTGTGTGTCTCTGTGTCTCTGTGTGTCTCTGTGTCTCTGTGTGTCTCTGTGTCTCTGTGTCTCTCTGTGTCTCTGTGTGTGTGTCTGTGTGTCTCTGTGTGTCTCTGTGTGTCTCTGTGTGTCTGTGTGTGTCTCTGTGTGTCTGTGTGTGTCTCTGTGTGTCTGTGTGTGTCTCTGTGTGTCTGTGTGTGTCTCTGTGTGTCTGTGTGTGTCTCTGTGTGTCTGTGTGTGTCTCTGTGTGTCTGTGTGTGTCTCTGTGTGTCTGTGTGTGTCTCTGTGTGTCTGTGTGTGTCTCTGTGTGTCTGTGTGTGTCTCTGTGTGTCTGTGTGTGTCTCTGTGTGTCTCTGTGTGTCTCTGTGTGTCTCTGTGTGTCTCTGTGTGTCTCTGTGTGTCTCTGTGTGTCTCTGTGTGTCTCTGTGTCTCTCTGTGTCTCTGTGTGTCTCCTCCATGCCTCCTCACCCTTGCCCGCGACCACCCCTCACCGCTCACCACCTCACCACCACCCTCACCACCACCATCACCACCATCACCACCACCACCACCATCACCACCACCACCACCATCACCACCATCACCACCATCACCACCATCACCACCACCCTCACCACCATCACCACCATCACCACCACCACCATCACCACCATCACCACCATCACCACCACCACCACCATCACCACCACCACCACCATCACCACCACCACCACCATCACCACCATCACCACCATCACCACCACCACCACCACCACCACCACCATCACCACCATCACCACCACCACCACCATCACCACCACCCTCACCACCACCATCACCACCACCACCATCACCACCACCATCACCACCATCACCACCATCACCATCACCACCACCACCATCACCATCACCACCATCACCACCACCATCACCACCATCACCACCACCATCACCACCATCACCACCATCACCACCACCATCACCACCATCACCACCACCACCACCATCACCACCACCACCACCCTCACCACCACCATCACCACCACCCTCACCACCACCATCACCACCACCACCACCATCACCACCACCACCACCATCACCACCATCACCACCACCACCACCATCACCACCACCCTCACCACCACCATCACCACCACCACCATCACCACCACCATCACCACCATCACCACCATCACCATCACCACCATCACCACCACCATCACCACCATCACCACCACCATCACCACCATCACCACCATCACCACCACCATCACCACCATCACCACCACCACCACCACCATCACCACCACCATCACCACCACCCTCACCACCACCATCACCACCACCACCACCATCACCACCACCACCACCCTCACCACCACCATCACCACCACCACCACCATCATCACCATCACCACCACCATCATCACCACCATCACCACCACCAACACCACCACCATCACCACCATCACCACCATCATCACCACCACCACCATCACCACCATCATCACCATCACCACCACCATCACCACCACCAACACCACCACCATCACCACCATCATCACCACCACCACCATCACCACCATCATCACCATCACCACCACCATCATCACCACCACCACCATCACCACCACCCTCACCACCACCATCACCACCACCATCACCACCATCACCACCATCATCACCACCACCACCATCACCACCATCACCACCCTCCACCATCACCACCACCATCACCACCACCATCACCACCATCACCATCACCACCACCATCACCACAGCCCTCCCACACTGCCCCTCCGATCCAATCTCCGTCGCTTCGATCGCTTGGGGCGGCCGTGGCGATGCTGTTGGTGGTGTTGGTGAGGCTGTTGTTGTTGGTGGTGGTGAGGCTGTTGGTGGTGTTGGTGGTGGTGAGCGTGGTGGCGATGGTGGTGAGCGTGGTGGCGATGGTGGTGCAGGTGAAGATGGTGACCAGCGATGTCCCAGCCACAGCCACCGCCGGCGGTCCCGGCGGCGCCTGGAGAGTTTGGACCTCCCCCTGGTGCCCTCGATGGATTGGGGGCTGGGGGCGACGAGCCCCCCAATCGGCGGGGACGCGGGCAGACCGCTGGGGTGGAGGGAAGGGGCTGGACGCTGGTGGGGCCAGCCCCTCGTGACGCACGGAAAATACCGGGACACGGTGGGTGGGTGGTGGTGGGTGGGGGGAGAGGGTGGTGGTGGTGGGGGGGTGGTGGTGGGTGGGAGAGGGTGGTGGTGGTGGGGGGGTGGTGGTGGGTGGGGGGGAGGGTGGTGGGTGGGTGGGTGGGTGAGTGAGTGGGTGGGTGGTTGGGTGAGTGGGTGGGTGGGTTGGTGGTGGGGAGAGGGTGGTGGTGGGGGGGTGGGTGGGTGGGTGGGTGAGTGAGTGAGTGGGTGGGTGGGTTGGTGGTGGGGAGAGGGTGGTGGGTGGGGAGAGACACGGAGAGAGAGAGACACGTGGAGACACAGACAGAGACACGTGGAGACACGTGGAGACACAGACAGAGACACGTGGAGACACAGACAGAGACATGTGGAGACACAGAGACACGTGGAGACAGGAGAGAGACACGTGGGTGAGACACGTGGAGACACAGACAGAGACACGTGGGTGAGACACGTGGAGACACAGACAGAGACACGTGGAGACACAGACAGAGACACGTGGAGACACAGACAGAGACACGTGGAGACACAGACAGAGACACGTGGAGACACAGACAGAGACACGTGGGTGAGACACGTGGAGACACAGAGACACGTGGAGACACAGACAGAGACACGTGGAGACACAGACAGAGACACGTGGAGACACAGACAGAGACACGTGGAGACACGTGGAGACACAGACAGAGACACGTGGGTGAGACACGTGGAGACACAGAGACACGTGGAGACACAGACAGAGACACGTGGAGACACAGACAGAGACACGTGGAGACACAGACAGAGACACGTGGAGACACAGACAGAGACACGTGGAGACACAGGCAGAGACACGTGGAGACACAGGCAGAGACACGTGGAGACACAGGCAGAGACACGTGGAGACACAGACAGAGACACGTGGAGACACAGACAGAGACACGTGGAGACACAGACAGAGACACAGACAGACACAGACAGAGACACGTGGAGACACAGACAGAGACACGTGGAGACACAGACAGAGACACGTGGAGACACAGACAGAGACACGTGGAGACACAGAGAGAGACACGTGGAGACACAGACAGAGACACGTGGAGACACAGACAGAGACACGTGGAGACACAGACAGAGACACGTGGAGACACAGACAGAGACACGTGGAGACACAGGCAGAGACACGTGGAGACACAGACAGAGACACGTGGAGACACAGACAGAGACACGTGGAGACACAGACAGAGACACAGACAGAGACACGTGGGTGAGACACGTGGAGACAGACAGAGACACGTGGGTGAGACACGTGGAGACACAGACAGAGACACAGACAGAGACACGTGGAGACACGTGGAGACAGACACAGACAGAGACACAGACAGAGACACGGTGAGAGAGAGACACGTGGGTGAGACACGTGGAGACACAGACAGAGACACAGACAGAGACACAGACAGAGACACAGACGGACACGCTATGATCTGCTACCTCTGATCCCCGCAGTCTCCCGTGGAGACACGTGGGTGAGACACGTGGAGACAGACACAGACAGAGACACAGACAGAGACACGGTGAGAGAGAGACACGTGGGTGAGACACGTGGGTTGAGACACAGACAGAGACACAGACACAGACACGTGGAGACACAGACAGAGACACGTGGGTGAGACACGTGGAGACACAGACAGAGACACAGACAGACACACAGACAGAGACACAGACACAGACACGTGGAGACACAGACAGAGACACGTGGAGACACAGACAGAGACACGTGGAGACACGTGGAGACAGACAGAGACACAGACAGAGACACGTGGAGACACAGACAGAGACACGTGGGTGAGACACGTGGAGACACAGACACACAGACAGAGACACAGACAGAGACACAGACAGAGACACAGACACAGACGGACACGCTATGATCTGCTACCTCTGATCCCCGCAGTCTCCCGTGGAGAACTCCCAGCGAGGATGTCCCAGGCCGAGCGAAGACTCGGACCCTGTCCTCGTGAAGGCCTCCGTCATCGTCAGCGCCATCGCCAACCGTGCGTGCACCTAGCCTGGCACCGCGGTGGGGGGGGGAGGAGGGGGTGGGTGGGTGAGTGGGTGGGTGAGTGAGTGGTGTAGTGGGTGGGTGAGTGAGTGGGTGGGTGAGTGAGTGAGTGGGTGGGTGAGTGAGTGGGTGGGTGAGTGAGTGGGTGAGTGAGTGGGTGAGTGAGTGGGTGGGTGAGTGGGTGAGTGAGTGAGTGAGTGGGTGGGTGAGTGAGTGGGTGAGTGGGTGAGTGAGTGAGTGAGTGGGTGGGTGAGTGAGTGAGTGAGTGGGTGAGTGGGTGGACCCTGTCCTCGTGAAGGCCTCCGTCATCGTCAGCGCCATCGCCAACCGTGCGTGCACCTAGCCTGGCACCGCGGTGGGGGGGGGAGGAGGGGGTGGGTGGGTGAGTGAGTGGGTGAGTGAGTGAGTGGGTGAGTGAGTGGGTGAGTGAGTGGGTGAGTGAGTGAGTGAGTGGGTGAGTGGGTGAGTGGGTGAGTGAGTGGGTGGGTGAGTGGGTGGGTGAGTGGGTGGGTGAGTGGGTGGGTGAGTGAGTGGGTGAGTGAATGAGTGGGTGAGTGAGTGGCTGAGTGGGTGGGTGAGTGGGTGGGTGAGTGGGTGAGTGAGTGGGTGGGTGAGTGAGTGGGTGAGTGAGTGGGTGAGTGAGTGGGTGAGTGAGTGAGTGAGTGGGTGGGTGAGTGAGTGGGTGAGTGAGTGGGTGAGTGAGTGAGTGAGTGGGTGGGTGAGTGAGTGGGTGAGTGAGTGGGTGAGTGAGTGGGTGGGTGAGTGGGTGAGTGAGTGAGTGAGTGAGTGGGTGAGTGAGTGGGTGAGTGGGTGAGTGAGTGAGTGAGTGGGTGGGTGAGTGAGTGGGTGAGTGAGTGGGTGAGTGAGTGAGTGAGTGGGTGGGTGAGTGAGTGGGTGAGTGAGTGGGTGAGTGAGTGAGTGAGTGGGTGGGTGAGTGAGTGGGTGAGTGAGTGGGTGAGTGGGTGAGTGGGTGAGTGGGTGAGTGAGTGAGTGAGTGGGTGGGTGAGTGAGTGGGTGAGTGGGTGAGTGAGTGAGTGAGTGGGTGGGTGAGTGAGTGGGTGAGTGGGTGGACCCTGTCCTCGTGAAGGCCTCCGTCATCGTCAGCGCCATCGCCAACCGTGCGTGCACCTAGCCTGGCACCGCGGTGGGGGGGGGAGGAGGGGGTGGGTGGGTGAGTGGGTGGTGTAGTGGGTGGGTGAGTGAGTGAGTGGGTGAGTGAGTGGGTGAGTGAGTGAGTGGGTGAGTGGCTGAGTGGGTGGGTGAGTGGGTGGGTGAGTGGGTGGGTGAGTGAGTGGGTGGGTGAGTGGGTGGGTGAGTGGGTGGGTGGGTGAGTGAGTGAGTGAGTGGGTGGGTGAGTGGGTGGGTGGGTGAGTGAGTGGGTGAGTGGGTGGGTGGGTGAGTGAGTGAGTGGGTGGGTGAGTGGGTGGGTGGGTGAGTGAGTGGGTGAGTGGGTGGGTGAGTGAGTGAGTGAGTGGGTGAGTGGGTGGACCCTGTCCTCGTGAAGGCCTCCGTCATCGTCAGCGCCATTGCCAACCGTGCGTGCACCTAGCCTGGCACCGCGGTGGGGGGGGGGAGGAGGGGGTGGGTGGGTGAGTGAGTGGGTGAGTGAGTGAGTGGGTGAGTGAGTGGGTGAGTGAGTGGGTGAGTGAGTGAGTGAGTGGGTGAGTGGCTGAGTGGGTGAGTGAGTGTGTGGGTGAGTGGGTGGGTGGGTGGGTGGGTGAGTGGGTGGGTGAGTGAGTGGGTGAGTGAATGAGTGGGTGAGTGAGTGGGTGAGTGGGTGGGTGAGTGGGTGGGTGAGTGGGTGAGTGAGTGGGTGGGTGAGTGAGTGGGTGAGTGAGTGGGTGAGTGAGTGGGTGAGTGAGTGAGTGAGTGGGTGGGTGAGTGAGTGGGTGAGTGAGTGGGTGAGTGAGTGAGTGAGTGGGTGGGTGAGTGAGTGGGTGAGTGAGTGGGTGAGTGAGTGGGTGGGTGAGTGGGTGAGTGAGTGAGTGAGTGAGTGGGTGAGTGAGTGGGTGAGTGGGTGAGTGAGTGAGTGAGTGGGTGGGTGAGTGAGTGGGTGAGTGAGTGGGTGAGTGAGTGAGTGAGTGGGTGGGTGAGTGAGTGGGTGAGTGAGTGGGTGAGTGAGTGAGTGAGTGGGTGGGTGAGTGAGTGGGTGAGTGAGTGGGTGAGTGAGTGGGTGGGTGAGTGGGTGAGTGAGTGAGTGAGTGGGTGGGTGAGTGAGTGGGTGAGTGGGTGAGTGAGTGAGTGAGTGGGTGGGTGAGTGAGTGGGTGAGTGGGTGGACCCTGTCCTCGTGAAGGCCTCCGTCATCGTCAGCGCCATCGCCAACCGTGCGTGCACCTAGCCTGGCACCGCGGTGGGGGGGGGGGGGAGGGGGTGGGTGGGTGAGTGGGTGGGTGAGTGAGTGGTGTAGTGGGTGGGTGAGTGGGTGGGTGAGTGAGTGGGTGAGTGAGTGAGTGGGTGAGTGAGTGGGTGAGTGAGTGGGTGGGTGGGTGGGTGAGTGAGTGGGTGGGTGAGTGAGTGAGTGAGTGGGTGAGTGGGTGGGTGGGTGAGTGAGTGGGTGAGTGGGTGGGTGAGTGAGTGGGTGGGTGAGTGGGTGGGTGAGTGGGTGGGTGGGTGAGTGAGTGAGTGAGTGGGTGGGTGAGTGGGTGGGTGGGTGAGTGAGTGGGTGAGTGGGTGGGTGGGTGAGTGAGTGAGTGAGTGGGTGGGTGAGTGGGTGGGTGGGTGAGTGAGTGGGTGAGTGGGTGGGTGAGTGAGTGAGTGGGTGGGTGAGTGGGTGGACCCTGTCCTCGTGAAGGCCTCCGTCATCGTCAGCGCCATCGCCAACCGTGCGTGCACCTAGCCTGGCACCGCGGTGGGGGGGGGAGGAGGGGGTGGGGGGGTGAGTGGGTGGGTGGGTGAGTGAGTGAGTGGGTGGGTGAGTGGGTGGGTGAGTGAGTGGGGTGAGTGAGTGAGTGGGT